TATATGTAAAGAATAGAAATTTAAGCTTTTGAAAAACAACATATGGAAATATTTGGGGGAGTGTTTTTGACAGATAAAAAGCAGCAATCATCACAAGTGTTAAAGTATAAATAACATCAAAACCAAATGGGGAAAGTGTTATTTACTACAATCTAAATAAAACCAAATACCAATAAAGGAAGAGAAAGTATCTCCCAACAACTTGTAGAGATTTAGGTTGAGGGCAGACAAAGAAGCATAGTTTTCTTTCTAGGAAAAAGAATATGAGTAATGTGATAGACGAGTATAGGCCACCGGATCAATGTTATCTCCTCCCATAGAAATTGAAAACCTCTCCAAACACAGGTTGGCAAAGATGGAATGTTTTTACACTAGTGCGTCTTCATTTGATGCTGAAGAATCATGCTCATTGATAGAACTGGTAAGAGCCTTCATGAAAACGGAAAACAAATTTGAGATGAAGTTAGAGACTTCCTTCACCATTTCAGAGACTAGTTTAGACAATGCAAACAAAGCCACAATAACCCTCTCATATTTTCGATTTTAAAAGTTTTCTACATATATCTATCCACCAATAAAATTATAAATATCCAGTCATAATTAGCTATTAATATTTTAAGTTTAAGTTTTATCAAAATTTTATACTTAAGATACTTTATATAAAAGAAGGCAATATATGAAAATAAGATAAATGTAAAATTTACTTTGTTATTAGAATATAAAATAATCGATCATTACATAGAAGTCTTACTAAATTTATAATATTTCATCTTCAACCACAAACAATACCCACTACATTAAAATAATTTATCACTATTTTTGAATAAATTTAATAATTATCAAATTTTCAATTTTATCAATTTGATGACATATTTATGTGTGAAAAAAGATAAACAATCTATGGAAGGAAAAAGTCCTACCAAAACTAATATATGAAAGGAAATGAAAACTTTTGTTATTAGAATACATAAAATCATCTATATTAGTCTCACTAAATTTGTTAATATTCTATTTTATAAGTTTGTTCATATGTATGAAGTAATTTTTTATATTTACTTTCTAACTGAATAATTAAGCAATAGATAAAGAAAATTATTAAGCAAGAGGTATATATATAATTTATGAATTTATTTAAAAACATATTTCTAGAAAAATGAAAAGATGAGAATATATTGAAGCAAGAGGTACATAAATTATTTTAAACTAAATACATAAAATATTCTACATTAGATTTCACTAAACTTTATAATGTTATATTTTATAAGTTTACTCACATCTAACTATCCACACATATAATTTTAATATTTAATCAAAATTAACTATCTCACTAATTGATTTTGAATCTTTATGAATTTCTATATTAAGATATTTTAGATAGAACTTCTAGAGTTGATCATTATTTTCATATTCATAGTTTTGTATTAGAATATGGAATGAATTTAATCACTAAAATTTACATACTTAGGTGAAAAGAAAATAGATATAGTAAAGATGTGTAAGGGAATCAACTGATAAAATATGAGATCAAAATCATTGATGAAACTTCATACGCATTGTCAAAACTATATGTTTTAGATAAATAAACTAACAAAAAAACTCATGGACATATTTTTGAATTTAAAATTGTTAAAAAATATGTTTATGGTTCTTGTTGCTCTTTATGTTCCTTTTTATGTGTGTGTTATTATGTAATTAATAAACACATATACATCTTATATAGTTATAATTTTTATGATTAGATTAATCTTTGAATACGTTTCTGTATTAACTTTTCAAATAAAGACAAAGTTTTCGCTCTCGACTTGGGCGATTTCTCCCATAGACATCTCTTCGGCCAAATCTTCTCCTGTCAGTTTTTTGCTTTTTCTTTTAGAAAGACTTACAAAAAGATTTTAGTATGGAAGCTTTTGTAAAACCGTGTCTACATGTCAGAGTTATTTATGGATACATCGGGTTTAAACCTATGGTTTGTAAAAAAAAAGTTCAGGCATAATTTGTTGTAAGTCAATCATAACAGAGAAAAATCAAATAATGAAGTTGGACAATAATGAATCTTATGATCGGTTAGCGAGTATGGCATATACATTTGCGTATGTAATAATTGTGTTCTAGTAATTCTGTAACATGTCTTTGTAATAACTCTTTAAATCAATGAAAGTTTGTTTTTGCTATTAAAAAAAAATCATCTTTGACTTGATATATCAATTATATGTTTTCATATATAAATCTGATTATTTATATACCTAAGATCCTAATCTTTTTCACTATCATGAATACATACAACAACAATATGTGATATATTGATAAAATGATAAGTCACTATATTACATATTGTTCTATGTACTATTTTCTCATCTAGTACTCCAACTACATCATGATATGCTAGTAATTTAAGTCAACATTTTTGATATCTTTCCTTGCATATACCCATATAGGAGATCGAGTCTCGTATCTTGAACTTTTTGGTATGGCTAACGTCTTCAAGGTCTACTACGTGAAAAAAGTTGCATATTAATGTTATCAACTTACCATAATGCACAAAAATGAATCATGTGATAATTCGTATCCACAAAACATAATAGTAATAAAATATTCAAGGTAAAATTACTAAATTAATAAGAGGTTAGGTAACAAACATTTAAACTATTACACAAGTAATGTTTTAGCCATTACCGAGTAATGACTAATGATAAAAAAAAAAGTGAAATAAGAAGAGTATAATATAAGTAGTGCTTGATAAATTAGCATGATTGTGTACTTTTTTTAGTTATTAGACAATCATTTAAGAGTGAAATTAATGGAGGATTTAACACAATCGAAGACTTTTGATTTTCCCTCAATTAGTTTTTCTAATATTTTATTTAAATTATGTAGAATGGCAAATGTCAAACACTTGTGTGACGATGTGGTATCCATATGGAGAGAGTTGATCAAGTTTTATATATATGATTTAAGAGTGAAATTAATGGAGGATTTAACAGAATCGAAAACTTTTGATTTTCTCTCAATTAGTTTTGCTAATATTTTATTTAAATTATGTAGAATGACAAATGTCAAAAACTTGTGTGATGATGTGGTATCCATATGGAGAGAGTTAATCAACTTTCATATATATGATTTTGAAAAAGTTTAGGTGAAATATGCGTATGGAAAGAAGAACCATTTACTTTCGGTATCTATATATATATATAAATGTTGTGTTAACTAATTAAGGGATTCTCTTTAACAGAGATAAATGGACTTTTTGTGGTTGCAGATCATAGAATATTTTTTTGTTGAAATAATAATGAACTTGATATGTATATGAATACTATTTAAGAATTAAAGTGAAAAAAAGAGGAGAAATACATAAGAGAAATGTTATCAGTTAAGATATAGGAAATAAAGTCATAGTGAAAAATAACATAAATGGTAGGAAGATGGTAGTAAAGTTGTATGTGTTTGGGGGATGTTTAGTGATTAAATTAGAATATTATTGATATTATCTCATTCTCATAAAGTTATATTATCCCATTTTCTCTCTTAAAATAGAAAAATATGTTGACTTTAACTTTTTTTTCTGAGCAAATGTTGACTTTAACTAACATGATAAAGTTGCAATGATGGTTGTGGTTAAAAGCAAAAATATTGTTTTCTTCAGGTCGGGAAAGTTGAGCAAACCCTGAGTTTTTGAAGTTACACTGACAAAATAAAACCCACTATTTGCCAATTAAAAGAAGCAGAAAAGATATTTGTAAGGAAACAAAATAAATACTTTGATTTTGTATTGTGAGATGATGTAATAAAATATATAGAAGTTTTGTGGTAACTTTTAAGATGTTTGGAGGTTTACTTTTTAGTTTTAGCATATATGAGTTTCTAGAATTTAATATAATCACTAATTTGATAGAGAACCAATATTTATCATTGCACAGAAGGAGACATGAAAAATTCAATGGTAACGACAAAGAAAAATGTTAATCATCAAAACCAAACTACAAAAGCAAACTTTTGAATCCAAGTCTCATCATTTTTCACAACATTTTAAGTCAAAAGTCCAAAAAAATCAAACAAAAACAAAAAAAAATTCTAACTTTCAATGACCTATAAAATTTTGGACCCTATTCCTTGGCTTATGTGGCTTATGCTCTGGGCCGACAGAACTTCTGAGTTTCCGTGCTAATGTTATTCTACTATTCTCTTATCCTTGCAATATTTATTATGTATTCTTGATTTATTTTCCCTCCATTTTGGAATTTTATTGTGAACCTGGTGCACTCTCTATTACAAGGACAAAATTACAATATTCTTGTGAATTATAAATCTTGAAATATATGGCCAAAAAAAAAGAAAAAAGAAAAGAAATATATAGTTGCAATATCATTTTTAATAATTATGATTCTCCTTCTCAATGTGATTCTAATAGTATATGCTGATGGATTTAATACATGATTCGAATCATCTATTGTTGCAACTTGTTTTTGACAAAGTGGTTTCAACCATTTATCCGGTGAATTTTCTAGTGAAGGTTCATTGGAATGACCAGATTTTCGGACATAATGAAATCTTCGCTGTGAACACTACATGGTGGTGTATTGGAATGTCAAAACGGAATCTGTTTGAATGAGAAAATGGATATCCAAAGTGCCCCGGTTGGAAAGCTTGAAATATTGACTTATGGTCAAATATTGCATTTTTGAAGTGAAAGGAGAAACTCGAACGGTGTCGTGCCGGTTGGGATTGATGATTTAGAATCTGATGACAACAGGAAACAATAACTCTTCTCTTGAAGCAGAGACAATGACACATGTGAAATATGAACAAAGATAATCACATTTACAAGTTGAAGAATCCTGTTTTTTATCTTTCAATGAACTGTTTTTTTTTTATCTTTTGTAATCCTGTCTTTTATCTTTCAGTGAACTTCTTTTACAGTTCTGTTACTAAAAGTTTCGAAAGATGATAACTTTACCGGTCTAGCCCATTTTTCGCGATGAGATTGGGATGTAAACCAATGTAAAAGAAAAAACTTCACTCAGATTGTTTTGAACTATATATGTATGGAAGCAAATCCAAAATAAACTGCACACATTTAACAATATGATCATTAGCGCGGTGCGATGGAGGGAATGACTCCGCTGACGAGTTGGTTCCCTGTGAATTCGGAGAATGTAGTATAACTGCCTCTTGCGGAAGTAGCAGCAAAGCCTGACATTCCTGAAGCAGAGGACTGGACTGAAGGGCTTGAATATGGCTTCTCTTCTTTTGGAATCATCCCGTAGATGTTCTCCAGTTCCCTCACGATTTCCAGCATCCGTGGACGCGCTTCTGGATTGTCCTGACAACATCTGATGGCCAGTTCCATGAATCTCTTCACGCATTCCTCAGAGTACTGCCCCATGCTCCTGTCTATCACTGACATCATCATCCCAGCTTCGCACGCTTCATTCACCTCCCGCACGATGTTTCTTCCCTGTGAGATTGGGCGCATTCCTGTAAGAATTTCAAGAAACACAATGCCGAGGCTGTATACGTCACTCTTCTCTGTTAACCTGTGGCTCAAGTAATACTCTGGATCCACATATCCCTGTACCATACGTTTCAAGAATTAGTTACCTTCCCTTAGGGATTAGAAACAGAGGAATGTTAAAACAACAACATACAGGGGTGCCTTTGACGATGGTAGTTACATGATCCCTTTGTACTCCACCACCATCTAGTGCTATGAGCTTTGAGATCCCAAAGTCTGCAACTTTAGGATTCATCTTGCTGTCTAGAAGAATGTTGCTTGGTTTGATGTCTCGATGGATGATTGGTGGATCAGCTTCTGTGTGCAGATACAGAATCCCCCTCGCAGACCCGAGCGCTATTCTCAGTCTCAGCGCCAAACTTAACGGTTTTCTAAACCTCGCTGCAGTTTCACATTCATCTATCACAATCCTCCCACAACACTTTTATATATACAAGACCAGAAAGAAAATTACCAGAGAGAGCGTCTTGAAGAGAACCGTTGGGCATGTACTCATACACCAACATCTGAAATTAGACATAACAAATCAACTCAAGAGTATCTTGAAATTTTATGATGTTAAGAAGAGACTCACTTGTTCTCCTTTCTGATCACAGTAGCCAAGCAAAGAAACAAGGTTTCGGTGATGTAGCCGGGAAAGCAACTCGATCTCGGTGAAGAACTCTTTTTGGCCCTGTAGAGAACCTTGCTCTGCACGTTTGACCGCTACAACCAGACCACCTGGTAAATGACCTTTGTAGACTTTTCCATAGCCTCCTCTTCCAATCTGAGAGAGATCACTGAAACTGCTTGTTGCTGAATCAAGTTCCGTGAGAGTGTAACCCTTCACGCTCTCCATGTTAATTGGAGATTTTGGAACTAGGCCAAGGAGAACATGATGGAGATTAGCATTAGATATTTGTTTAAGGAAAACAGAGAGATTAAGTTTTCACTCACTGGGGTGTTCTTGTTCCATGTCGACTTCCTTAGTCTTTCTCTTTTGTTTGCTTCTCTTGATGAAGCAGACCAATGCTAGAGAGAACAATACAAGGAAGAAAGCAATGGCTCCTAAAATGATTCCAACTTTGCCGCCTTTGCTCATTCCCGATTTTTCCGGGAATTTGATAGTAACTACTGCATATGCAAGAGTAACATAAATACTAACTCTTTTGATTCACAATGATGAGTAGAAGATATATGTATTACCGTCTCTGTAAGCACCGGCGTTGATACTAATAATCTCGTAAGGGCCAAGGGAATCATCGGTATCCAGACTAAAAGTTGCAAAGAAGTCCACAATACGTTGAACCTCTGTGGTGTTAAATTTACTGTTTAATTCACTGTACTCTGGAAAAATCTTCATGTTCATGGAAAGTCTTGGACCCGATTGCCATGCAAATGTTTCAATAGATATCTGATACGCGTTTATCCCGAGATTTTTCGGGGATGCCACATCGAGCATGTAGGAGACTTTGTAAGGTCTAAAGTCAGAGAAACTTGGACTCCTAAGCCGAAGTTCAATACCAAGTGGTGCAGCGCAGAAACATGCAACTGGAGCCCCAATCACGTAGTCGTAGTTTTCGCTTACGGGGCAAGATTGGCGTTTGCAGTCTCCCGTCGTGGTGGTTTCCGAAGAAGTTGCGGGGGATTCCACTTCTAACGTTGAGACGCCACATAGATCAGCTAACTTACCCGCATTAACATTTGCACAAACCGGGTTTCCGTTAAGCCTGCCCATCAAAACAGAGTTCTCTCATTTCTCTATCCATAATTCCAAATTATTAATCTTTTGTTCTGTTTTCAAAACATAATCTTACTTGACTGTGACATTGGAAGGAGGGTTTAAAAGAACGCTTGACACATTTGAAAACATGTTGTTCCTCAAGTCCCTGCAAGATTTTCCAATCAAAATCAATCAACATTTACTATTCTTGTTTTAAAAGCATTGTTCTCTAGGGTTTTGTAAATATGACGTGTCTTACAAGATAAGTTTTTCCTCTGCCTTAAAGCTCCTATTGTCCCATATCACAGGAATCTCTCCACTTAAGTTGTTGTTCTGCACTTGCCTGAAAATTTGAAACAAAACTCTTATCTGTAAACAACATTTATCCTTTGATTAACTGAGAAAAAAGGAAGATTAAAAGGTGGTTTAATTACAGTCTCTGTAACCGAGGAAGGCCTGAAAAATTTGAAGGAATGGATCCGTTGAGCTGATTGTTGTACAAGTTTCTGCATACAGTGAAATTTATGTTTGTCAACAAAAATGTAACGATATATCAATTATATTCCATTTCTTGGCTTGGCACTTACATAGTTGTGATGTTTGCAGAGAACTTGTTCTTGGGAATTTCTCCTGTGAGTTTGTTGGAGGAAATATCTCTGAAGCATCAAAAGAAAACGTCTCGTTAAACGACTAATATAACATGGATTGTTAATGTTAATGTTTTCTTCTTTTAAAAGTGACTCACAAGTAATAGAGAACCGGTGCTTTGCTCAAATCAGGAATTGGTCCTTTTAGGTTGCAGTTTCTGAGACTCCTGTTAATGCGTGAGACACAAAATCAGTACGCCACAGGGAAAACAAAAGATTTTACTATGTTCAGTTTCTTACAGTTTGACGAGATTTGGTATCGATCCGTAAGAAGATGGGATCTCGGTGCCATCGAAGTTGTTACCGTCCAATTGTCTGTAAATGAAGAAGCAAACTAAGTTGAATGTAGAAGAAGGTTATTTTTCTTGATAAAGAAGTTGAAAGTCACAAAAAGGCACATACAGAATTCTCAAGCTTGGCATCTGAGAGAGCTCTGGTGGAAGATTTCCAGTTAGCTTGTTATTGTCCATCAAGCTGCACAAGTTAAGCCACACAACAATGATCAGATTTGAATAAGATAAACAGATTTAAAGGTAACCAAGAAACTTACAAGTGCAGAACACTGGTTAAGGAAGAGTACTCGGGCGGAATCTGACCCGTGATTGAGTTGTTGTTCATGTGACTAGCAAAGAAAGTAAAAGTTATGTTAGAAGGGTTTGAATAAGGAAGAGAGAAGAGAGGTCGTAGAGATGGAGATCTCACAAATGCTTCAGTTTTTTCAGATTTGCCAACGACGTTGGAAGTTTTCCGCTAATATCATTGTAGTCTATCTGAAGGATTCGGAGATTGGAAAGAGAACCAAGTTCTTGAGGCAAAGATCCTGTCAGTTGATTTCCACTTAATAGCCTAAAAAAAGAGAAGAACATAAATCGGTTAAGTGATGTAGCCATGGAGGGGAAATATTGATGAAACAATGATCAAGTCTACTTACAAGAAGAGTAGATGAGTCAAGTTTCCTAGTTCTGGTGGAATCTGACCGGTGAGATCGTTCCACATGAAGTTCCTGTGATTATGTAATAGAAACCGGAGTGACGTTGATATATAGTATAATTCAGAAACCAGAGCATGCACAGAGGAAAACACAGAACATACAATATGGTGAGATTTGATAGTAAGCCGAGTTCAGGTGCCAGTTGTCCGGTGAGGTTCATGTTTAGCAACCGCCTGCATCATTTTGATCAAACCATATGACATCCTCAAAGTTTGGTTTTGTAGTTTAAAAAGATAGTAGAAAGTTTAAAATTCCGAACATACAACTCTTTAACATGAAGAAAGCCATCTGTTGGATCAGGGATGCAGATGACACCGGTCCAATTAGAGGCGCATGGATCCGTCTTTTTCCAGTCTTGAAGATGATTCAGAGGGTCCTTAAGTTTGCGGTGAACATACTGCAGAGCACTAACTGCAACAACAACAACAAAAAACACTCATCACCACTGTTTACACATAGACACTGCTCAGAAAATTATAGAGGACCGTACCATCAGTCGGATGAGTAATCTGTTGGGCATCCAGCAAAGACAAGCAACAAGAAGACAAGACCAGAATGACTCCAACTAAACCCATCATCTCTTTCATCTTATTTTCTGCTTTGTTTCAATAACAGACCACTATTTATCTTGCCTAGAGATGACCTTAAAATGCTGAGAAAAAGTCGTAAAATACATACTTGAAGAAGGAACATTATATATGGAAGTTGAAGCAACAATGACTTAAAAAAAAACTCAAAATGTAACTATCAATAACACCTAGTTGGTGGTTTTGTTGCCTTTTTAAAATGTGATCAATAAGGTTGGACGCGGTTAAAAGGCAATTATCGGTTTGTTCAACTCTCTTCCCCAATTGGATTGGAGGAATAAAATCAGAATAGCTGACTTCTACCGTGTTCCTGCAAGTTACTGCTTACTTTTTCTCTTCTTATGAAAAATTCAAAACTTACATATAAAACAGAGACAACACAACTGACATATCTTCAACCATATCCATCTCAAACCGTTACCATTAGTTTAATTCTTATAACCAAGTTGCCTATTTTTCTTTCCTTTATACATAGGGACACAGAGTCTACATTTTATTCTTTTTTCTTTAAAGATAGAGTTTTACTAATGAGGAGAATTTGTATAGAAATGAACCATCTTGACTTATTCAGAGAAAATCAGGAAAACCTCGGAACCATCTTGACTTGTTCAGAAAATCTTATATAATATGAGAAGGTTTTCTTCTAACTTTACCTATCATTGCGACATTTGGCACTCTCTTTTGGTGACATGTGTCCTCTTTCATTTCATTAATATTTGTTTTAATTTATTTAAAATTCTTAGGTTTGAAAGTTTGTGCCTACAATTTAATTCCAAAAAAGATATTTCTCTTATCCTATTGATACATTTGACATGTATTTAAATTGAAATTTGTATCTAATTTGTTTTGCCAAAATTATTATCTACTTGAAATCACCACTTATTCATCTGATTCAAAATTATGGATCAGTAACTTCACAAAATATTTAGTACATTTTTTAAACTTCTCATAATATTAGTACATTTGGCATCTATTTTTAAATTTAATTGTTTTCCTCATTTTTCTATTTTACATAATATTTTAATATCTCCATAAAATAATTCATCTGATTCAAAATTATGGATCAGTAAAATTTTAACTTCACAAAATATTTAGTACATTTTTTAAACTTCTCATAATATTAGTACATTTGGCATCTATTTTTAAATTTAATTGTTTTCCTCATTTTTCTATTTTACATAATATTTTAATATCTCCATAAAATACATTTCTAATACTCTCTTTTGATGACACTTGTCCTCTTTCATTTTAACTTTGTCTCTTTTAATTTTTCCTGTCTAACATTTAATTCCATAATTCTCTTATCCTATTGGTATATTCTACATATATTTTTAAAATTATTAGATTTTCAAAATTTATAGTTAAACTATTTTACAATGTCGTTTTAATGATTACATATTTTTTTCTTAATGATGTATCATTTATTAATATTTAAATAATTAGTACATTTTTTAAACTTCTCATAATATTAGTACATTTGGCATCTATTTTTAAATTTAATTGTTTTCCTCATTTTTCTATTTTACATAATATTTTAATATCTCCATAAAATACATTTCTAATCTTTTCTAATTTGTCTCTTTTTTTTTCTTCTTTCCAATCTAACTTTTTTTTAAAAATAACACCAATTTATTCTCACACGTTACAACTCCAAGTTGGAGTATTTATTTACAATTTTTATTACAAAATACATTTAATGTATTTATATAGTATAATACTCCCTCTGTTCCAATATATAAGATGTTTTAGACATTTTCATTTGTTCCATTATATAAGATTTTCTCTACTTTCAATGCATGATTTATATTAGTTTAATAGTTTTTAATTATTTTAATTATGCAGTATCTTCTTCTATTGGTTGAATTTTCATAAATGAGAAAACATTTATTGTTTCTTAATCTCTGTGCTTTTAGTCCAAACATCTAATAAAATGGGACATAGGGAGTATAATTTACAGGAATTATTAAATTTAATATGTCATCCCATATATTGTTTTATAAATGTCTCAATGAATGAAATTCTAACTTATATAACAGTCAATGTATTTTAATAAAGAAATATAGTAGCGTGCATTATATTAATGTATTGCTCCATGTGTTACGCCTTCTCTCAAAATAAATGTTTGCGACGAGTTTTCTTCTCCAGTAACACTTTTCATGTGGCTTCTAATACCGAAATATATTAGTTTTTTTTTTGTTCTGGAATTATTTACCCAAAGTAAAACCCACAAATGAACTTATTAAAACATATGTACGTCAAATAACTCTAAACTGATGCATTAGTGATTAGGCTAACAGATAACCACAATAACTCTAATTAATTCAAAACATTAAATCCAATTAATTCACAAACATGTACGCTAAGTCTACTTCTATATATTACCCACATGTGAAGCTAAAAAACTATTGTAGAGTTTTTGCTTTTTTCAGTCCGTTCTTTTATTTTTTATTGACTTTTAGTTGCTTTCTCTTTATTTCAGGCTGTCGTCCATATAGTAAAAATATCTACAAAAGTTTTCTCATTTGGTGTTCAAGTTAGTTTTGTGATTTCATATGGTGTTCAAGTTAGGTTCACCAACACCATTAGTTCTACATAAAAGTGTTCTATTTTTTTTTAAGTTCTATTTTTAATTGTTTCTCTATTTTTCAACTCACCAATAAGATTTGTATACATACATTGAGAAAATTTATATCTATTATTATGGTCAGTTAAAGTGTAATTATAAACTTAAGTATTTAGATAAATGACATTACATTATATTTATTAAATTTTTTCACTCTTATGATCTATATGTATTCATAAATTTGAAAACCATAAGTTTGTTAAAAAATTTATGATATAAATTGAAAAACCATTTATGTAATTATTCTCAACATCACTTATCAAAAAGTTAAGAGTTTGTTTTCAAATTTATGAATATGTAAAGCTGTTTCAAGATGATTTTGTTCTTGAATACGTAAAACTCATGGGATCATGAGTCAAAAAAAGAAAATCAGATAGTTTATGCCATTCTTTATTTCTTTTACATAATTACTCAACGTTTGAGAGGGATCGACGTTTGAGTTTTCATATATCTCAAGTAAATAGTTTTTTGATTCTTAATATTGTATAACATTTGACTTGATTATGTTTTGAATTAAGTAAGAAATAAAGACCATATGAAAGAATATAAAATTTGTATTTATTTTTATCAAAGTTTCCATAAAACCAACCAATGAAATTCAACCAAAAAATTTAAAAATTTCCACCAAAGGTTTTTTTTTTTTTAATCTATCCTCATGGGAGTTTTGAAAAGAATTATGTTTGCCAAGGGCATTTGCATAGAATATCATAATTGACTAATTCAGTTAAAACCTAATATGCCATTAAGGTATTTAGATAAACGGCATTACATTATATTTATTAAATTTTGTACTCTTATGACCTATATATATATATATATATACAAATTTTATAAAATGGCATATTTATTTTGTTTTCAAACAATTGAGAATTTAGTTCAGTTTTAATATATATATACATATATATATATATATAGGTTTATTATTAGACGATCCCAAAAGAATAGAATAGAATATATTATTGTGAAATAATTTCATGTTTTATTTATTTTAATTATGATGATAAAATATAAACATCTTATAGTTTTTTTAATAATATAATGTGAATTTTATAAAATAATCTAAGGAAATAATATATAAAATTATAGAAAAATATGGTATATGAAGCCAAAAATTATATATAAATGATTTACACTAATATGGCATAAAGTTGGTCTTTACATATACACTGTAGATAATAAATTGTATGAAAGAAAAAATTCTAAAATTTTAGTGTAGATAATAAATTGTATGAAAGAACAAATTCTAAGATTCCAATATTTTTAATTATTTTTGTATTTAAACTTTTAATATATTTTAATTGATATATATATATATATATATATATATATATATATATATATATACATGTAGGGATATTAAAGTATATAATAAGTGGTGTGAAAGAAAATTTTCCCTATTAAATGTCATAATAAAAATATATATATGTGCCACATGTCGTAAGAAGAAAGTGACAAATGTCGTGATAATAGAGCTCCTTACAGAAAAACCTTGTCATATTATATAATATATAATAAGTGGTATGAAAGAAAATTTTCCCTATTAAATGTCATAAGAAAAAAAAAAAGTATGTGCCACATGTCGTAAGAAGAAAGTGACAAATGTCGTGATAATAGAGCTCCTTATAGAAAAACCTTGTCATATTATATAAGACTAGATTCAATTACTCAACGTAAACTTTGTCTGCAAAAAAATGGGCCTAATAAAAATCAAAGTGAGCCCCTTTGTCAAAACTTTGCCTACGTCCATTCACTTTGTCAAAAAACTGGGCCTAATAATAAAACAATTCCACACTAACTTTGCCTAGGTTAACACATTGACTTTTCACTTATCTCCTACGCCGCTCCTTCCTCCATCTTTCGTCGTCGGTTGCAGATATAAGGTACTTTAAAATTTAAAGTTTTTATAATTATTGTGTTAGACTCTGGTAACGTCTATGATGAAATTTTCGTCGTCGGTTTTCTTCTAACTTTACCTATCATTGCGATATTTGGCACTCTCTTTTGGTGACATGTGTCCTCTTTCATTTCATTAATATTTGTTTTAAATTATTTAAAATTCTTAGGTTTGAAAGTTTGTGCCTACAATTTAATTCCAAAAAAGATATTTCTCTTATCCTATTGATACATTTGACATGTATTTAAATTGAAATTTGTATCTAATTTGTTTTGCCAAAATTATTATCTACTTGAAATCACCACTTATTCATCTGATTCAAAATTATGGATCAGTAACTTCACAAAATATTTAGTACATTTTTTAAACTTCTCATAATATTAGTACATTTGGCATCTATTTTTAAATTTAATTGTTTTCCTCATTTTTCTATTTTACATAATATTTTAATATCTCCATAAAATAATTCATCTGATTCAAAATTATGGATCAGTAAAATTTTAACTTCACAAAATATTTAGTACATTTTTTAAACTTCTCATAATATTAGTACATTTGGCAT